TTAATCCTTGGTAATTTTCTTTCGTGTTTAAAGTACACGGAGAGGAATGGGAAGTCTTTCTGATTTTGTGATAAATTTCCATTAAAATGTGCTCGGAAATTTTCGAAGCTATTAATCCCAATTTTTCTCCAGAGGCGAGGTAAGAATCTAGCGTGATGTTCATCATCGATTGCTTGTGTCTGATTGATCCAGGATTCAATAATACCGCTGTTATTTCCTTGTGCGGCTGACGCGGTGTCAAGCATGGTGCGGAAATTAGCAATGGTTTCGGTAACGCTTTTGGTTTGTGGTGACACGTAATTTCTGGTGAAATTAGTTTCCCACTCTTCACGTTCAGCGGGAGTTTTTAATGCAGATGCCGGTGGTGGATTTTGAGTCATCAGTGAAAGTATTGAGTGTAACAATAATGCCAAATTTTCATCATTGCAGTTTAGAATTACTTTTAAGACATTCCAATCATTTTGTATATGATCCATACAATATTGTTCCGCATTGGTAGCGACTTGATTATTCTTTTGAAGGAAGTTATTTGTTACCGCTGGTGAAGAACCACTAATGAGAACGTGTACAAATAGATGTAGAATCCTATATGAAATAGGTGGCATGGATCGAACACTATGCATCATCGTTTGATTTGTTGACTCTCCAATATATCCGGCTTGATCGTTACTGGCGATAGGTCCTGCGATTGGCTTATTATCCAGTCGACGATTGCCAGCAGCTGATTTATGATCACCACCTCCGATAGTTCTTGTTTTGCAATCGGGACACCTCATCGCCTCCATGGCTTGGCCGCAGTTAGCAATAACATATTTAGAACCACATTCACAAGAATACCTGTTCATATTGTCGTAGTAAAAACTCGAGTTTTTAGTCGATTCCATTGATAACATCAAAAAATAAAACCAATTGAAATTTACTTACCGAGTAACTTGACCTCCTGACGCTATAACCGCACTCAATAAAACAGCTTCGATATCCGATATACAGGCTAGTATAAATATGTTTTGACATTTATCCAGTCTATGTAAAAGTGTGGCGAGAGGTGATGCCTCCGGTGGCATGGAAGCGTGTAATGCTATCACATGAGCTATCACCGATTTCATTAATAAATTACTATTATCTATTCTACTATTCAGTTGAAGGAGGGGATGTCGATTTATCAATATTTTGTTGATCGTTTGTTTATAAACATCTGATAAAC